TTAACTTTATTAATCCCTCGAGAGGGTTCCTCTGGGGTTTTCACACAGCTGAATAAATGTCAAACAGAAAATGATTAAACAGAAGTGTGAGATGGTCGAGAGTTTACGTCAGTGCCCGGTTATATTTTAGATAGCAAGGAGCAGACAGCAGAGTTTCACTCCACCGAGGGAGCCTGTGATGTGGGTCCTCAGGTGGAAGCAGCCTCTGAATTTGGACACCCCCGCTATTTCCGGGCCTGCCAATAATAGCGGTGACATTTAACGTATTTTATCCGATAAATAAACCCTGTAAAATGTATTTAAACCCCCCCAACAGCCCTTTTGAATGTCTCCCTATGGCCACAACACGCTCTTGGAGCACTTTTTTGCCACATGTATCGCAAACCACGTCTTAGCTGTTTGTGGAGGTAAAATAAATCCACACATGACTTCAATTACGCTCAGCCATTGTTGTGAGTGCGCACGCCAAGGGGCTGCGAGACAAATCCGAATGTTATAGTTACTTTCCACTGTGTTCCTGTTAATGATAAACTACAAATTTACTCTAAATTACTAAAATATCGATATTTTAATGTGAGAATCAATTCTAGAACATAAATGATTGGTATCGGAGGAATCGATATTTCAGGATCGATCCGCACATCACTAGTGTTTTAGTGCCGCACATCACTAGTGTTTTAGTGCACGGACAGCCTACAGAGAGCAGTTATGCTGAACCGAAGTACTCGTATTTTTGTATTTGCAGGTGAGCACAAGTAGTGTGAGGACGTTGGAGGAAGGTGAATGAATGTAAACATGCTGCTAATGTTGGAGTTTGTGATTTAAATGATGTCACATTTTTCTAACTTTATGCTCCCAACGTTTGGGCAAGTTTTACTGAGTAAATATTTAACTCGTCCACTTTAGGTCAGTGTTATTGCTGGAATTAATGATTAAATCTGTGGCTTAAATCCCTTGTTCACAACTTCAAGTGTATGTCAGTTGGTAGGAGTGATCCTAGAAGGTAAGTAAGCTTCATAATCTTGTGTTACCAACAATCTGCTGTGTTTTTACTTTACAAACATTTGTAAAGGAATTAAACATGTTCTGTTTAAAATACAAATGTTACTGTGTGTCTGAATCAGTGTGGTGGAGGTGAAATGTTGTAATTTTGGTGTTTACAGATTCTACCAACGCTGCAGTGCACATGTCGTAATTAGTCATCCTTTTCGTACTGGCAGCTGACTGTTTTTGCACTTACTTGAATGAAGCAATTCAAATGAACTTTGAACTACATTTCTAAAAATTTACATCAAAGTCAGCTTTATTGTCAAAAACCATATGCACAGGTCATACACAGGAATTTGAAGTTTCAATGCTCCCACAGCCCTCGGTGTACACTAAAACAATATAAAGATTAAAATAAGTCTTATGTACGACACAATACAATACAAAACAGTGTCCAGCACAGTCAGAGTGCTTGTGGGCAAGAGTTCGTGTGCAAGTGGGGTGGGGGAGTCAGTGAGGGGCGATGGTGGAGGTTGAGAGTTTTGGTCTGGGAGGTGGGCAGGGTTAAGAGGGGAGAGGTGGATGCAGGTCTGTAGTTCTGTGTGTGAGAGTGGAGAGGGACAGAGCAGGGAGAGAATTCAGCATCCTGACAGCCTGATGGACGAAGCTGTCTCTCAGTCTGCTGGTTCTAGCCCAGAGGGTCTTCAGTCTCTTTCCTGATGGCAGCAAACTGAAGAAACTGTTGGACGGATGGTGGAGTCACCAGTAATGCACCTGACAGCTTCTCGGGTGAGGCGGATGCGGTAGATGTCCTGAAGGGAAGAAAGAGAATTGCCCATGATCCTCTCTGCTGCTCTCACTACTCATTGTAACTTTTTCAGAAGGGAGCCATACCACACAGTGATGCAGCTGGTGAGGATACTCTCAACGGTGCCTCTGTAGAAGGTGCTCGTAATGGGGTTTGAGGCTCTTGGTTTCCTCAGTTTGTGGAGGAAGTAGAGTGGTTGTTGGGCATTACTGATGGAACACTAAGTATACTTACTGTTACTACTTAGTAAAAACATGAATGCTGGAAGGTGAACACACCACAGTTGCAAAGGTATAAGGGTACTGGGTATACAAACTGTAGGATTGATTAGGTGTGCAGGATCAGACCAGCAACACTAAAATACCAAACAAAAATGACAAGATGAGCTACCGGTCAACCTGCCTTAAACCCTGACAACAGGACAGCAGGTGTGACCAAAAGAGGGTGCCCTATGAAATCTGTACTTACAAACTGAATCACAGCCTTTAACCGTCATGAAACATCCAGTTTGCCATTTTGGTCATTCGTTTTTAGGTCTAGAGAAAACATGAGAGACTTTTAAAACAAGTCATTCTCACAGATGGAGGTGCCGCTTCGACCAGAAATGTTTGACTTCCATGGAGTCTCCATGACCAACGTCATCACTGACAACTGGGACAACGTACAGGACTTCAAAGCAAGACCAGATGATATTCTTATCTCTACGTACCCTAAAGCAGGTACTGATGTGGTGTGTGCAAGAGTGTGGAGCTTATCTAATTATAAAATAACTTTTTTTGTTAAAAAATAATTTTAATGTTGGTGTCTGAGTTCATAGGATTCCCACTAAACGGTATACATGCACGAGTTCAGTGTAACCTGAAAAATACAAAAATGATGCTGAGTGTCTTAATTTGGGTTATGGAGCTTATATCTTCATAGTTTGGTATCCCACTGAACAATATGCATCTA